GCTGTTACTTGCTTACAAGCTTACTGCTCTCACAGATAACTGTACTCTTTCCATCAGTTTATTAATGGTGTGTCGCCTTCATAGTGTTTCTGCTTGCAAGGTCAGTAGTTCTCCTGGTATAGGCTACTTGACAATAGCACTGCATGTTCTGCACTCTGAGGTAACACTGGCACTGGTTGCTCCTGCAGCTATCTGTACTGTGCATGGCATTTTGGACCTGTGTCGTTAAGGCTGAGTCCACACTAGAGGATTTTATAATCTTAGATTTTGAAAACTTGAGGTCACAGACATAACGACAGCTATAACAGACTAACACACACTAGGCAATTCAGTCAAGATGAAGGACTACATGCTTGCTGTTTTTACTGAACAATTTCAGACACACAAATTTCGGGGACCAGCAATCTCAGAAAAACTCGTGTGATCAAACATGATTTCAGAACAAACCCAGCATGTAGGCGGACATTCGTTGACAAGCAGTAGTACTTGTGTATGCCATGTTTTGCACAGAGAAAAAAAAGGAGAAAACATGTTAGTCTTGGCTGAGAAGATCAAATCAACGCTGCTTACACATTTTGCAGTATGAGTTTGAAATAAAGTTATGTTACTCAGTCAAGGAGGCTGCTACAAGCTAATGTCAAGGAGGTGAAAATGAACCCAGCAATGGGAAAACCTGTTGGATGGTCAGGGGAGTGTAGTCAAATACAGGAACATCCTTGAAGAAACCTGCTTCAGAACCCACACACACTGAGACTGGGCTGACACTTCCTTTTCAAAGCAACAATGTCCTGAAGCATACAGCCAAAACAATACTGGAGTGGCTTCAGGAAAAGTCTCTTGCTGAGCCTCTTGTGGACATTCAGATTCCAGACTTAAAGCCCATTAAACATCTGTGGAAAGATCTGAAGATGGCAGCACATAGACGCTCACCATCCAGACTGACAGACCTTGAGAGGATCTGCCATGAAGAATGGGAAAACTGCTCAAATCGAGGTGTGCAAAACATTTAGACGTATCCAAGAAGACTTGCAGATGTAATTGCTGTCAAAAAGGCTGCTAAAAAGTACCACATCATAAAATGTGCAAAAAATAAAGGGGTCTTAAAACTTTTTGAACACATTAAGTATTGTGTAATTAGTATGAATATACTGAGTGGTGTTTATTCTCCACCAACAGAAGAGTGTCATGAAGACAACATGGGGAGTGCTGGACCCTCCGGTGGGCAACACCAGGCTCAATGTGGTCAGACTGGTGGCTAGTCTTTTGCAGAGCAACACGCACAGCATCAACATAGAACTCATTAGCCTCAACACACTGGGAGTAATACTAGTGAGTATTATCTGTATGTTTGATATTTGTTTTGGGCTTACTAAAAGCATTTCTGTTGAGTTTAGGTCTGCTCTATAACTGCTAAACTCTAAATGGTAGATTTCCTTGTTTTGAAGCCATTCTATTATAGATTTACTTCAATGTTTAGGGTCACTGTCCTGCTGTCGCCCAACTTCTACTGAGCTTCAGCTTGCAGGCAGCCACCCTGATATTATCCTGTAGGATTCTTTGATAAACTTGGGAATTTCTTCTCCCCTTTGTGATGACATGCTGTCCAGGCCCAGAGGCATCAAAACAGCCCCAAATCATGATGTTCTCTTCATCGTACTGTACCTTTTAGGATGATGATTTTATGTTGATATGAAACGTCATGTTACCAAGTTCCATACCAAATTGAATCTTCACGTAGAGTTGATGCTACCCAAAAAAAACACCTCACTGCAGCATCCCTAAAGTTTACCAAAGAGCACCTTGACACTCCACAATACCAGTGGAAAAATGTCTTGTGGACTGACAAAACAAAGGTTGAATGGTGTAAAAAGGGAATTGCATATCAACATAAAAACATCATCCCACAGTTTAAGTTTGGTGAAGGGAGCATCATGCTTCGCTACCTCCGGGAGAGTTGATGGTCTTAATTGACCAATGAAAAAAGAACATGTAGACAATGCAGTGTCATTTGTGAAATGTCTCAAAAGGCTTATAAGATTGGAGTATGTAAGCATAATGAAAATGCTATTGCTACGTTGACAGATATGGACACTGATTATATTCAGGCGGCTGCCTCCAGCCAGTGAACTGGGAGCACCTCAGCTCGGCCAGTCTAGTGGCCCTTACTATATTTGCTTCAAAATTAATCACTGCTCCATTTGGCAGATATAAACAGCATTGCAACCGGCTTCCACACACCATGCTTATGTGCATTAACAAGGCCGCTTTGATATCACTGTGTCACTGGGGGGGATCCATTTCCAGCCACATTCAGATCGGGGTCTGTGCAAGGATCAGCCAGAAATCATGCAAGGTTCTTCCATGGTCCAGCCAGCAATTTAAGATCTTCTGTAGGTGGAAATTGGATGATATTTTATCACCAATTATTGTAGAGAAACTGGAAATTCCAAATCACTTTTTTTCTTGCAACTGTACCTTATTCTTCAGTATACTGTTGGAGCATTCAACTATCCACCCTATTTTTTAATTAAATGTCTCTCTTCAAGGTTATTGTGTTTTGATCCACAGGACATGTATTTCAGATACATCTGGAACAACTTCCTCCACATTCAGGTGGAGATCTGCACAGCCATGATTCTGGCTATGCCCCCTGCCCCTGCTGACATCCAGCCAGACACAGAGCAGGAACATGCAAGGGAGAGCATCCTCATTAAACATGTAAGACTATAATAATAGAAAAAATTAATATTAATTCTTAAACATCTCTATTTGAACTCATTGTTTAAGTTACCTCAAGCTCTGGGACTGTAGCAAAACTACAGCAGCAAACTAAAGGAGTCTTTACACAAGTAAACTAGAACTAGAGAAATGCATTTCATGTCGTAAATGCGTGTGGAGCTGAAAGATCGTCCTGAAAATTCCTGAAATCAATTGCTGAAAGATGAGAATGGCTGAAGTTCTTTGTTGAAATAGTTGAGAAGAAATTGCTGAAGTTCTTTGTTGAATAATCTGAAGGATGAGATGCAATAAAGTAGGAATGGCCTTGAAGAGCTGAACATTTTGGTACCTGAATGGCTTTTCTAGCTGAAGGTATGCTGAACATTTTGACACCTGAAAAGTATATCTACCTGAAAGTATGCTGAAGTACAATTTTCCCATTAATTTGAATGGGGGGGATATTTTCAAAATAAAGCTAAATATTTCAGAAGTGTGAAGTGTATAAAAATTCTGAGTCAAAGAATGAATGCCCTGGCAGACTTGAACATTTTGATACCTGAAAGTATGCTTAAGTAGAATTTCCCCATTCATTTGAAAGGGGCAAAGTTTTCAGAATAAAGCTAAATATTTTAAAAGTGTGATGTTTTTAAAAAATTGTTAATAGGAGCATGAATTGTCCTTGAAAAGCTAAACATTTTGTTAGCCGAAATATTTCAAAAGTATGAGGCTTTACAGCATCCACACAATAAATAATGAACAGAAGAGCATAGTGTGGATGCTTTGCAGCAGGGCTGCCCAATATTTGATTGCGATCGACCGGTAGATTGCGAAGGTAGTGTCGGCACATTGCATGCCATTCAAAAATAAATTAGATGTATCTGGCGTAAAACTTGCCAAATGTTAACATGCGAATGGTCAGTGTGACGATTCGCTATGGCGACCCCTAACAACAAAAGCAGAAAGTGACAATCATTCATATATAGCCCATCATCCATCCTCCCTATGGCATTTGCTACTTGATTGACACGCAGGGCAGCCAGTCTGAGATCTCGTCTTTTCTGACACACGAGTCACCAA